ATATTGAATACAAGCAAGCCCAATTCCATATCAACCTCACCAAAAGCAACGTATAGATGAATTTAAAAAAGAAAGCTTTTTGACGCTGAATTTGAATATAGTAATTAATGGTTGATAAATTACTACCACATATCTGTTGATCTCAGAGCTAATGTGCATTTGCTACAGATGCCACACTAATAGATTTAAGTCTCACAGAGACGGAAAAAAAAAACAAACCTCAGAGCCTTGCTTCTTATCTCTGTTTCACCATGCATAATGCACCCAATGACAGAATTAATGGATAACAAGCACCCGCACAGCTTTTAGTCAGAGGTGGAACAAGAATCTTAAACCCAAGCCAGGTGGGCTTTGCTAAACACCCCCCTTGCCCGACTCCCCATTTGTTTCGATTCACGTACTGTGGCTTAATCAAAAATAAGACTGAATAGGACTTATTTGCACATGGTGTTCTGTCAATGTTTATAGTCAAAGTTGAAGCTAATTTAAGGGTTTAAACATGATTTGATTACAAAAGTAGTAATTTAAGAAACTGTCACAAGAGCAAGCGTGTTAGATTCTGATCTATATATCCAAACTAGGCTTGTTGGCCTTATAAACACTCACACACACACACACACACACACACACACACACACACACACACACACACAACCACACAGACCCCCACCAACAGTTTGAATATAGTAATTAATGGTTGATAAATTACTACCACATATCTGTTGATCTCAGAGCTAATGTGCATTTGCTACAGATGCCACACTAATAGATTTAAGTCTCACAGAGACGGAAAAAAAAAACAAACCTCAGAGCCTTGCTTCTTATCTCTGTTTCACCATGCATAATGCACCCAATGACAGAATTAATGGATAACAAGCACCCGCACAGCTTTTAGTCAGAGGTGGAACAAGAATCTTAAACCCAAGCCAGGTGGGCTTTGCTAAACACCCCCCTTGCCCGACTCCCCATTTGTTTCGATTCACGTACTGTGGCTTAATCAAAAATAAGACTGAATAGGACTTATTTGCACATGGTGTTCTGTCAATGTTTATAGTCAAAGTTGAAGCTAATTTAAGGGTTTAAACATGATTTGATTACAAAAGTAGTAATTTAAGAAACTGTCACAAGAGCAAGCGTGTTAGATTCTGATCTATATATCCAAACTAGGCTTGTTGGGCTTATAAACACTCACACACACACACACACACACACACACACACACACAGTTGGTCTAACTTTTCCCTCTCTCATAAATGTTCACAATGTACATCACACATTAAAAACATGGCCAGTATGATGCAATGGAGGGGTACACACACTGTTTCAGCACGCAAGCTACTTATAAAAGGACACGTCCAATTGATCCCCCTACATTCTTTTTGTTTACTTTTTTTTATTCATGTGTTCAAAATATAATTACAATTCTTGATATGCACACTATACATTGGTGCACCTCGAATAACTGAATTAAAAAAATATATACTTGATTTACGGTTGCACATGTTTAAAATATGTTAAACTAACACCCATCATTTGTTTGTTTTTCAGAAAAACAGGGAAATTACCACATTTTAATCATGTGCAATCCATGAACGCGCTTGAATTAAGTAAATCGAAAGGATCTGGGTTTTTTTTCTTTTTTCAGTGTGCATGAACCATTCATATATACGCGGTGAGGCAAGCAACAGGTGTCTGACTGGCTGCCCTGTATGTCAATCAAGTGACACATTTCACAACAGGTGACAGGCGGGACTGTACTTATTATTTCCTTATTTTTTTCATTCACTGCCATTGACAGGCAGTTATATCAATCACATAAAACTGGGATGGCTGGCTGTGACTGAGTTAACATCATGAGTCAGGGTGGGTACCTTTCATACTGGAACCGGTTTAGTTCCGATTCTCTGTACCAGGGAATGGATACTGGTCAATATTTTAGTACTTTTGTTCTGTTTCTGTTAATAAATGTTAATTTATTTAACAATCGTTAAAAACAAATCAAATGATTACTTTTCAATATCTAAAATTTGTCAAACAAGAAAACTTCATGATTTAAAGAAAAATGAGCTCGAGGATGGAGTAAAACTAAAGACATGACATTTGGCAATGAATAAAGTATAGATACAAACACTACATGAATATTACAAAATACAAATTGTGAAGCAACATTTTGGGTTTTTTTTGCTATGAACAACACAAGGAATGAAATTAAGCAGCGATACAAGGAATGAAGTTGGGAGTTCTTTTCCTATGAGGATTTTTTTTTACGGAGCCAAAATCCACCAACTGTGGGCGTGGATACCGTGCCCACCTGTTGCAAGACTATTTCTCTCTACAACACTCCAAACTGTGTGCGTTTAATATGAAATTTGCATCAGGGGGCTGTGGATAAAATATACAACTTAGGCAATCGAAAAAGACTCGGCAGCAGAAAAAGCCAAAAGCTGCACGAAAGACAAGGTTTGTGGTTACTGAGAGGAACACTTCCCGTCAAGTTCCTGAGCATGCCGTTTCGTGTGCTGACACACACTGGGTACCTGCATTGGGTAAATGATGCCCCCCAGCATTTAGCCACTAGTTGTGAATGTTTCATAATCTTACACTTGTGGACAAGTGTGCATTTTTCATCCATGGCAAGCTCACCCAGAAAAGCTTGGCATTGGCTGACCAAAGTGGGATAACCTTACCAAGTTATGAGGCTTTGAAGACTTTTGCAAACACGACTCGAGCTTCTCCAGATTCATCATCTCTGAAAAAAAAACCTTTGAGTGATCTCGCCAATATGTTGAGTTTGTTTCATTATATGCTGCCATCGAGCCTTTACAATTTTTTTCCCCATCGTGTCTTGTCCCCTGGAGTCTATAAATATCATGAATCAATTAATGGACTCCTTTGGGACCTGGCGTTATGTTAGACCAGGGGTGTCAAACTCATTTTTGTCGCGGGCCACATTGTACTTACGTTTTCCCTTAGAGAGCCGTTATGACTGTGAATTTTGTGAAACCATATAAATGTTTAATCACCTCCACATATTACATCCACAGCACACAACAAATTGATGGATACCTAGTTTTGAAATCACAAGTCAAGAATAATTACTTTTTTTTTTTTTTTTTAACATTATTTACATTAATGGCGGCCCGGTAGTCGAGTGGTGAGCACGATCACTTCACAGTACAGAGGTACCGGGTTGAATTCCAGCTCCGGCCTTCCTGTGTGGAGTTTGCATGTTCTCCCTGTGCTTGCGTGGGTTTTTTCCGGTGTTCTCCCACATTCCAAAAACATGCATGGCAGGCTGATTGAACACTCCAAATTGTCCCTATATGTGAGTGTGAGCGTGAATGGTTGTTCGTTTCTGTGTGCCCTGCGATTAGCTGGCAACCGTTTCAGGGTGTCCCGCGCCTACTGCCCGAAGACACCTGGGATAGGCTACAGCACCCCCCTAGTGAGGATGAAGCGGTTTGGAAAATGAATGAATGAATGAATGTTTACATTAATATAAGAATGAATTTGGAAATGACAACATGCTTGCAATATGCCCATGTTATTATGGATTGCATATGACAATTTGAAATTTGGGGTCAGACTTCAGCAAGCATCCTGGAAGTTGACCTGCTTGATTTGCATTCGCGGGCCACATAAAATGATGTGGCGGGCCAGATCTGGCCCCCGGGCCTTGACTTTGACATCTGTGTGTTAGACTCTTCTGGCTGTAAGAAACGGAATTGGTTTGTGCGAATTGGCCTCATAGAGGGGCCAGTGTCCGATATGCAACATTAGTCGCAACTATTTACCATGAGACAATGTATACTAACTTTTCCGTCCATTTCATAGAAAAATTATTTAATAAGACATCTTGAGTGGCCTTGTAACTGTGAAGTATGACGCCAGACTGATTAGTTTGCTCTTTCATGATTGTGCAGCATTATTGCCCTTACCTTACCCACAAGATTTTTGCTTGACTGGTGCGTGGTTTTATAACACGTTATTTCACGATGATCCTAAAATTTGGAGGAAATTCAAATGAGTGATGAGAGTGATTGATACGATCTGCCAAATCCACTTACAGTGTGATGGTACAATGCTGACAGTGGTTTAATAGCTCAGTTAATTGCGGGTATGACATTGAAAGTGACTGCAATGTCATTTCATTAAAACAAAATCTATTGGTTGTAAACAGGCAGAAGAGAGAGAGTCTGGCTGTTGCATCTTTTGACTTAAAATGCCAAAGAGTGGAACTCGGAAAATGCATATGAGGTTTACCTTGCAGTTTGTCTCTATACAAACGAGCAATAGAGTGCAACAAAGTGCTGTGTAAAAGAAGTCGTGCCAACTGAGGGGATGATGTTTCAGCCCTGCACTGCACGATGGTTCTCAAGTTGCTAAGATCAGCTTCATTCTTCCAGTTAAGCTGAGTCATCCGCGTCACTCCTTTCATGCTGTGGTTTAAGATCCCACCTCTGCATTGTGTTTTTGTCTATGTCAGTCCTTTGCAAATTGATTCTGCTCACTCATTTTGCTTCTAATCATTTGCGACAGACGTTTGGGTTGGTGTGGTTCAATTGCTCTAAATTCGGTGTGGATATAATCAAAAAAGTTGGTTTACTCTCCACTTCATATTTGACAATCAAACTTGCAAGAAGCAGTTGCTTGATCAGGCACTGCTGAATTTCATTGTCAAGGAGCAGCCCCTCAGCATTGTGCAGAGTGAAGGGTTCAAGGAACTGATTCAGGTCCTTGAACCCTCATATGTTTTGCCGACAAGAAAGGTCTGTGTGAAAGTTCCATAAAGTAAAGTTGATGTAGATGAGATGAATCACCTATATTTTAAATATATTATTTGCTTTTGGTTTAATATTCAGACGATCAAAGAATGGTGGCCAACAAATACCAGGAGGAACGGGAAAAAGTGAAAATGGAAGTATAGCAAACTGTGGCAGTGAGTATAACAACTGACATGTGGACCTTTGTGAACATGGAGGCTTACTTGGCACTTAACTGTCACTTCATTAATGCAAATATGCAGTTGTGTTCATCAGTGTAAGGAGTACAATACTTTCCACGGAATCACACTGCTGACAATTTGGCCCAGGTCAAAAGGGGCATGATGGAGGACTGGGCCATAAACAACAAAGTAAAGTGTCTCGACACAGCACCTCCAAATTCGCCGCTCAACTTGCATTGCGGTCTTAATTTATTAGATCGATGAGTGACGCAGCACCTCCAAATTCGCCACTCAACTTGCATTGCGGTCTTAATTTATTAGATCGAAAATCATGCGATCAGGTCGCTGAACTTACAGACATCAGAAACAAAGCTCAGCACATTGTCACATATTTCCACTCAAGCACTACAGCCAAGAAGAAGCTTGCTCAGGTGCAGCAACAGATGGAACGGTCGACCCTGAAACTCATCAATGAGGTTCCAACACACTGGAACAGTCCTTCCAGAAATGCTGTCAAGGTTGCATGATGAGAGGGAACCAGTGTGGGTATATCTGGCCTCCTTAAAGACATATTTGACTCCACTGACAGCTGATGAGTTCACCATCATAAGAGAAGCACTGCGAGTGCTTTCTCCATTCCGTCAAGCTACAGTGGAGTTGTCTGAAGAGTGGCGAGTGTCGGGTTCAAAGGTCATCCCGATGATGAAAATGCTTTGTCATGCACTTGAGCGTCACGCTTCAAGCTTGCACACACAGTAGAGGTAAGATCTTAAGCCCAAGCCCGAGTCCAACCTGACCGGACCCGAAATTCGGGTCGGGTCGACTTTTGTACATTGACTTTTTTTTTAAATAAATATATGTTTATAAAAATGTATACTAAAACGATGTGTGGATACTAAATTAAGGAATACTTGTTTTAAAAGAAATAATTTGGATAAAACAGAGAAGGCGCTGTAATGTAATTGCTATTTAACTACTAAACAGGAGCCACAGAGCCAGAGCATGCTCTGCGCACGTGAACGCCGCCCTCTTTATAATCTTCCCCTCCGCAAGTCCGCATCTTTTTTGACCTGGTATCCCCAATATGGAGGAGCAAGAAGTTAAGGATAAACTAAAGACAGGAGAACTGAAAACACAAACACGCACCGGTAAGAGTGAGGTGTGGAAAAGCTTCAAATTGATTGTTGAAAATGCTACAGAAACTTGCGTTGGCTTCGCTGAATGGAGTTAATGTGGAGCTTTGCTTTCATATGAGAGCAAAAAGACTGGCACCTCGACGCCGAGCAGGCATTTTCAACAGCTGGCCTGGCAAAATTGATGATCGTCAACCATCTATATTATCATTTGTTTAAAAAAAACACCCCTCTTCATGCTAAGCAGGCCATCACAGACAAGTACGTGGACTTTTGCTGTTAGGACCTTTGACCATTTTCAGAAGTTAGTGGCAAAGGTTTCAAAAGTCCTGCCCAAGAACTGATCAATGTTGGGTCAGCTTTTGGCCATGTACCTGTCGACTCGGTCCTGCCCCATTACACCACAGTGTCAAAGGCGTGCACTGGGAAGGCTGAGGTAAAAAGGAGCTTGTTAATTGAGCGGGTAAAGAAAGCTCTGGCAAGTGGCTGTGACGGCGCCATGAGTACCGATATGTGGACAGATGATTACAGAAAGATGAGTTATATTGCAATAACTTTTCAATTTACTGAAACGGAATTCAACTTGGTTGGAAAAACCCTCACCACTGCTATGTTTCCAGCAGAAGACGCCAAAATGGGGAAGAATATAAGAAGAGAACTGGTCCGGCTTCTGGTGAATACATTTGGTTTGGAACCTTCATCTTTATCCAGAATAGTGTGGGTTAAAGATGAGGGCAGTGACATCGTGAAAGCTTTGGAGCCTTACAAGCACCTCTCGTGCCTTGACCATGTGATAAACACTGTACTTCGCCTTGGGCTGGACAAGGACGCACTGTCTGCAAACGCCCCAGACATTGGAGCCATAAGTGCAGCCAAGAGTGTTGCCCGTTTCCTCAAGCATTCTGGTTTGGCAGCACAACTATCAAAAACAGTGCTTCAGATGGGTGAAACCAGATTCAGCACCGTTTACTTGATGCTCAAGTCTGTGCACAAGATATATGAGTTGTGTGAGAAGCTGCAGTCACGCGGAGAGGAAGACATGGACAACATTGCGCCAGATCTGTTCGATTTTTTGATCTCCTTTCTAGGGCCTTTCTATGCAGCACAACTAGAACTGGAAGGAGATAAATATACCACACTGAATCTAGTTTGCCTCTGGAATGAAAAGCTAAAAAAGCACTGCCAACCCAGTTCTACGGATAATCCTCAGCAGGCTTTTGTGCGCCACAGGCATTCTGAAGTTTTGGAGCAAAAAATCAAAATACATATGTTGCACAAAGTTGCACTGTTCCTGTGGCCTACCTTCAACAAACTCAAAATGATGACACCGACAGAGGTGTCAGAGGTGCATGCACATGTCTGCCACTCCTGAAAGAAGATGAAGGAAGATAAGCCACCACTACAAATTTTGAAAATGAGGAGGACGAGGCGCACCCCAGCACCATTTCTCAACCTGCAGCAAAACGAAAAAGAAGTTCTTTTTTCGCAGAGTGGGATCTTACATCTAACACACAGGCAGCCATACAACTCCACGAACACCTGAAGCGTCGAGTCACAGACACTGCTTCCAGTCTGGAGTCTGTGAGTGTGTTAACCTTAGCAACACTTCAAAGACCTCAGATTCAAAGATGCACGGTGGCCATATCCAGACTGCGGTCTGAGAGCGTGCGTGTCATCGGGCGCACAATCGAGGCCCAGCCCGGACCATCATCGCAGCCCTCTGCAGCTGCATCTGGCATGTTACTCATCATGATTAGTTTGTTTTTGGAAACTGTTCCAAATGCCAATTTTGTTGGGTTTTGTTCTTTAGATGACCCGTGGCAGCATTTGGATGATGGGGTGGGGAGACTGAAAAGAAGTGCAACAGCAGATGCTATATCTGAAGTCCAGCGATACCTGGCAGAGGGGAATATTGTCCGCAGTACTACGCAACACACTACTTTTCCAAAGCTCTCCCACCTTGCACAGGAGTTCCTCTGTACGCCCGCATCAACAGTGCCATGTGAGCATGTGTTCTCCACAGCAGGGGAAATAGCATGCAAGAAACGCAACAGACTCAAATTCCAAACACTAGAGCAACTTATTTTTCTGAAAAAACATTTATGAAGACAAAGCCCACAAGCATTCTCATTCACATAATTTTCACATTATTCAAACATACTGAATAACAATATGAATGCATAGATGTGAATGATATTGCATACAGTTCGTCATCAAATCAGTCAGTTCAGTCTGTCAAGTGGCTTGCCTGCAGGGATTTTGAAAGTCAAGCTGGTGTCAGTGGTCCGTGATACAGGATCAACAAATTATCAACACAGTGTGTCATTGTGTCAACACGCTTCATGACACTTTAACACTGTTAAAGAATAGTGCACGGAGACACACATAATCATTTTAAAAAATGTTTTAAGTTGTAAGATTTGGATTTATTTTTAAATGACCATTTGCATTTTCGCTAGTTATTAGTGCACTACATTAACACATTACGAAGCGTAAAATACATCAGTGGAGACCCAAGACTGTTGACAGCTGAACCTGTACATCTGATACGAATTCCTGAAATCCGTAATCAGAGCGGATCCCACAAACCTAGACCAAGACAGACCCAGTGACAAAAATTTATCAAAGTAAAAAACAAACCCGACAAAGTACAAATATATATGTATA